GTTTTTCAGCGCCAAGCCCTCCCAGCTGTATGCCTCACGCTGAATAAGGCTCTTTTTCAAACCGGAGAAACAAAACGCCAAGTATGTTAGTGACTGGTGCCAGGTGCCAGCGAAGAGCACCACGAATGGGAGGAAACAAAAGCAAATGACTCATGTTGTTGTGCGAGGGCTCATTCATTGATCGCTTTCTAGAACGGGAACAGTGCGGAGAACAAAAGGGCTTCAATTTGCTGATATGGCCTTTTAATCTTTTACTTCCAGCTTGATGTTGACCGTGTCAGTGCTCTGTGTCTGTGTTGGTTTCCATGAAGATGGGTCAGGTCTCTTCTCCATTAAGGTAGCCTGGTCCCAGGAGTCCATACAAGTTCCTGTAGTAGAACGTAGTTTATGTAGGTTTATATATGTTGGCATTCCCAACAAATATGCTGCATCTCTCTTTCCTGCGTGCTAAAGTCCTTTGCGTTATTTTTTTTCCCCCTAAAACCCGGACAGTCTGCAATCTGCAGCTGTGTGGAGTGCTGCATTATCAAACATGGCTGCCTTGCAGAACAGGGAGGAGTCTGTTTAATAATGAGGTTTTTTTTCTTATTGATTTTGTTTTGGGGGGGTGAAGCAGCAAGGCAGTCAGGTCTCGGCCAGAGACGCGAAAAGCTTTTAGACGCTAATTGCCAGTGATGCAGGAAGACGGAGCAGAGAGGAAGGAGGTGAAAGGCGCAGTGGTAGGGTGATCTTGCCTGTTTACGGTAAGAAGTGTTTTTCCACTGCACTGCTTTAACTGAACTAGTTGCACTCAGGTGACTGAAATAGCCTGTGCCGATTGGCTGGGGGGACTGGTAGTAATTCAGAACACAAGAATGGTTATCGTTACTGGCTCCCAGCTCTCCATTATAAAGGCACTTCCCCTTAGATTCCATTTGTGAAGCCGGCCAGATGTACTGTACCTATATCTTATATCAGATCACAAATGTTGTAAATCCTAAATTTGTCAATAAAAAGAAACATCAGTTATTTATTGCCCCTGAGTATTATGCAATGGGTTAATATTTAATAGCTCCTGCTTATGCAAATAACCTGGTTACCTGCAGTTATACAGACTAAATGTGTTAATTATACCGGGGGGGTGAGCTGCCCTAATCCTGCTTTTGTGTTCTCTTGAGCCCTTGGAAAGTTATTGGACTCGTAAATCTGGATTTGTTGGTCAGTGTGAGCTGTAGGGGTGTGGCTGTGCAGGACCCGGACTGTGTGGGGTGGTGTGGTGGCTCTGTGGCTAAGGATCTGCGCCTGTGGAAGGATAGTTGGCGGTTCGTATCTTGCAGCTGGCAGAGGAATCCTACCCCTGAGCGAGGCCCTTAACCCCAGCTGCTCCAGGGGCGCTGTACAATGGCTGACCCTGCGCTCTGACCCCAAGCTTCTCTCCCTGTCAGTGTGTCTCATGGAGAGCAAGCTGGGGTCTGTGAAAAGACAAATTCCTAATGCAAGAAATTGTATATGGCTAATAAGCTGATCTTATCATCTCTTTGAGAGGGTGTTGTAATGCTGGTTCCCACCCCAGAGGAGCACCCTTTCTTAAAAGCATCGTCCCCATTTCATCCACTTGGCCTACAAAGCAGTTTTTGCCTATTTAAGACGCTAACAAAGTGAATACCAGTGTGTTCAGTTCAGGACTGCTGTGGGCTGGCGAGTCCGGCCGTCTCTTTTCTTAAGCACGGCCGGAGACTAAATCTCGGCGAAAGGCCAGGAGGAATATCCTCTTGTGATCTGTCGCCCGTGTTCAGGAACGCCGGGCTGCGGACGAGCCGACGAGAAGGCTGTGATGGTTGCCGTGCGCCGGCCGCTGCCCCAGGCCGATAGCGTGAAGGATGCGGACGGGCTCTGTGCTCCAGCGGCCCGGCGCTCTGCCGCCTGTCTGGCCCAGGAGCTGCTGGGAGCGCGCGCGCGCGTGCCCTTCGCCGCCGCAGCTAAAAATAGCTGTCTGTCTGGAGCGGCGCTATTGGCTGTTCGCAGCGAGCGTCGCCGAGCGCTCTGGTGCATAATCCCATGCTGCCTTATTAGACTGCGGCGGACACAGCAAGCCCCAGCTGGGCGACACGAAGGTCTGAAAGACTGGGGGCTGAGAAATAGTGCGGGGGAGGGGGGGGGCATCTCTACCCTTGAGATGTGACGTCCGGCAATCAGACCGGCCCTGCTCTGGACGGCCTGGCTGTTTAAAATTCTGCGCTGGCCCTCAAAACCGCTGCCTGTGCAGCTCCTGTGGCCCAGCCCCCACAGAAGCTTCTCCTTCCGATTGGAAGGCGTAGAAGGCTGATTCTGGGATGTAGCAGCAGTCTGTAACTGAAGGGCTGCAAAGCCTTTTAGTGTGTGTTCCGTTTTCTGCCCATACAAAGCACGAATAATAATTCACCACCGACGGAAGTGCTGATGGAGACTGCAGTGTCAGTTTACAGTCTGGATATTGATGGGAGATGAAAATCAATAATTTGCTTTTCCATTCCCAGACACAGTGCGTCTTGTCCTTTTATATAATTACAAGAGGAATACCTTCCATTTGTGTAATGCATTGTTCTTTCATTAAAATTTGCTGGTGGGTTTTTCTTAATTGTGCTTTTGCTTCACTGTGCCTCTCCTTCACCACACCAGTCTGCCTGACGTTGACTGCAGTTTCTTGTGCCGCTTGTGTACAGTTAAGAGATCTACCTTTGAAGACGAAGCAGGCCTCTGTTGCCTTTATTTCTCTTGCGCTTATTGTGGAAGGCTCTCTCAAAGCATAGATGAACCTTTACTGCAGTCTTAAATGTTACAAGTCTAATCACAATCACCCCGTAGCCTTCTTAAGAATTGTGATTAAATCGAAGCTAGAACTGTTCTGTTTATAGCACCACAATGTATGTTTTAAAAGTGCATTCATTTTTTCAAGTCAATTGAATTTGTACATCAGCTATCCAGAAGGGCACTGGCACATTAAAGCAGGCTATTTTCACCAGGAGGATTAGCGTAGGTTTCACATTCCCAGTACTTCTAATGAGCCGCCACTACACACAGTAAGTGGCAACCATCGAAGAAAAGAACTATTAGTGTGGGAGGCACACACTCTCAGAAAAGCCCCCCTGTAAAATCTCATTGAAATGATGCTGAAAAACAATCTGCAGGGAGTTAAACCGCAAGCTTTTATTTGATACAGTTAAAGCCTTATGGCAGCAATTAGAAAACCTGTTTCTCAGTCTCCAGCTAGAACCACAAGCAGCACAATCAGTCAGAGAGTAACAAAGGAAACCCTGTGTTCCTTATCTGGTGCCTGCCTCCTTGTTTGTTTCTGCTGCTGTTCTGCAGTCCTGAAGGTGGCTTGTTCTGGGGCACAGTTGCATTAAGCTGAGGTAAGGGCGCCTCTCTGGTCTGTTGCGTAGTAATGCTGACTCTGTGCTTCAGGAGAGACTCCCCATAAAAGCTTTTGCTGAACTCATCAAGTAGCACTTAACTGACCCATTAAAACTATCGAGCCGATTTTCAATTAAAGTGGTGCGCCAATCAAGAGCTCTGGCACGGAAGCCCTGAGTCCGGCGTGGGCCGTGCCAGCTAGCGGGTGGGACGCCATCACTCGCCAGCCCCTTTCCTGTCTGTGTGCCTAATGCTTTGCCACAAGATGGCACTGATCTCTCGTGTGCTGGCATTGTGTCTGGGCCCCGTTCGCAGTGTTCGGGGGAGCAGCTCTCCGCTGCCAGCAGTCAACAGAATGTGTGTGCTTTGAGACTTTGTTTTGCTGCACTTCTTAAAGGTACGTCTTCCTGTGGTTAAAACTAGCTGCTCAGACATGAATGTGACATGTCCAGTGACCAGAGGCTGGTTTCTAGGGAGGTAATAGATGGGCAGTCTGGCGCTGATATTGTTTTCTTGGTTCAGGTGCCTTGCCGATCGATTGTTTAAATGAATTCATTTTGTTCTGTCTTTTGGGCTTGATAGTGCTTGGAAATGTAAACGTTGTTCCAGAGGTTTCCATTTCCAGTACTTTGTGTGTTACAGTAGATGTAAGGAATCTTATTTGGCAGTGGATTTACTGGAATGCGTATTTGTTGAAATCCTTGAAAATCCTTGAATTATTATTGTATTGCAGCTTTAATATTTTAAAAAGTCCTTCGGTTGTATTTTTAACCATAAATCCATGTAATTTTCTATACTTGCAAGTATAGAATTGTCTCCTCTGATGAAAGAGCACACCAACTTCTCATTTCACAGAGGGAGGTGGTGGTTTTCTGTAAATACGTACACTGTAACCTACAAAATCTCATAATAAACTCCCAAAATAGTTCACACTTCACCGATTGTTTTATACACAGTTGTTGTCCTTTTTTTACATCCTGGCTATTGGAATGCACCCCACTCACAGCTTACTTGGGATAGCGTCGGTTTCTGTGCTGTGACCAATAGGTGGCGCCACAGTTCATGAGTTGTGGCAGCCCTGAGGAATAGAGTGGACTATTTTCTCCCATCCTCAGCAGGTGGGGTGAGAGTATGATGAATGAGAGCAGTTCCTCCTGTCTTTTTCCCATAAAACCTCATTTATAATTGGCATGTTTATCTGTATATTTCTCAAAGACCTAATATTTGGAAAGTACCATGTGAGAGACAGGCATCCAATGTTTGTGGCATAAATACAAATGAATTATGATTAGTGCTAACTGATAGGAGCTCTCTACTAACTGATTTGTTATTCTGTTTAAATATTGGGGTGCCCCCTCCACCGCGAGACCACACCAGTTGCACCCCAGTATGCTGTCTTGACCTTTTGAATGGCTCCTAAATTATCCCCAAGTCAGTCACATTGTATGGGAATATTAAAGTTTTTGCTGTAGCTAGGAAAGCTGCACTCCAGCAGCAGACAGCAGCAGGTGGAAATAAACCGAACCCTTTCTTTCAGCCAAGGGTTTTGGGAGAGTCGCTGTGCTGTGAAAACACCGGTGTGGACTGTGGATCCCCGCTGACCACAGCTTGCTTTCTCGTGTTCCCAGGGCTTCATGAGAAGAAGCCGATGACGAGCTGCGATTGGTGAGGGTCAGCATGACATCAGTAGCCTCGGAGTTCGACCACATGGAAATTCAACAGCAATACACCGACGTCAACAACCGCTGGGACGCAGACGACTGGGACAATGAGAACAGCTCGGCCAGGCTGTTCGAGAGGTCCCGCATCAAGGCCCTCGCAGGTAGGAGGGGCCGCCGTCGCCTCGTCTCCTGCTCGCTCCTCTCCTTGCAGACTCTGCTGTCCGCACGTTTCTATTTCCAGAAAGCAGGAGTATCGCCACCGTTGGCCTGACAAGGGGGATAACCTCCTCTTTCCAATTCTCACAGTCGCCACGAGAGGACGGGGCATCGAAGCGGCCGTTGAATTTTTTTGTACCCCTGTCGGCTGTTGTTAGATGCGTTGCGGGACGGAAGGATCGGCAGGGGCTGGCTTCCCGTCAGGAGAAGAGAGATTGTTCCCCGTCCCGGGAACAGTCTTTAGCTGATGACAAGCTACTCCGGGGCCTTGCCTCGTCCCAGAACGGGCAGGACATGGCTCTGGAGAGAAAGCAGATAAGGCAGGGAGACAGGGATTAGGAGTGTGTGTGTCATCCCTCTGCTCTGCCTGCCATCCCAGTTTGTGAGTCAGAGGTGACTAAAAGTGCCAGACCACAGTGGAGTTCTGTGATCTGCGAAGTGTTGCACATGTGTCACTTGGAGTGCTTGAGGAGAGATTGAACCACCACATCCACTGAAACTGTAACCCCTACACGGTGTGAGAGGGAGCGTTTTCAGTGGAGCTCGTCCGAGCTGCTGTACAGGGCGTAGAGAATTTGACTGTCCTCACGCCCCCGAAGGTGGATTTTCTTTTCAAGCCGCCTGAGCAGAAGTCGGTTCTGGCCTGAGCAGTTTGGACCTTTTCAGTGCCAACTCCGGAGCAAAAAGTCCCTTATGGCAGTTTGAGCCGCGCAGAAGAAAGCACTTCAGGGTCACGGTCGAACTTATTTATTCAAAGTTGTCATGAAAATTGTTTTTTAGTATTTATTTTTCTGCTTGAATCTGTATCCAATCTGTGTCACTATTAAGGCTGGATTTGTTTACCTTCTGAGGAACTGAAATGAGTGGGGACAGAATTGTTCCTGACCTTACATTTGACATGCATACATTCTTTGCTTATGTGGCTTTAATCCTTATTTTTCCTTTTTCAGCCTAGAATTCTGAAATTCAGCATCTTTTTAGTCTATTTGTAAAATTTTTCACATTCTGGGGGAAGAGTTTCTTGTCAAACCTCAACAGAGTTGGGCTGAGTTAAAGATGACCCATGGTCTCACAAGACTTTATACAGCAGAGCTGTATTTAAGCTGTCATTGAAATATCGGGTGTTGAAAGGGTGTGGGTTTGAATCGACAGTGTCTCTCAGCTTTCTGAAGTTTAGATCCCCTGGTTGAAGTAGCCTTCTATGTTCAAGACAAAAAAAATGTGTTCTCTTAACTAAGCTTCACAACTTAGCAACAGAATAATTCACAGAACAACTTCAGCAGACCTGAATTGGACTCAGCGATGAAATACCAGTGTACAGCAGACATAATGAGCTGCTGACTTGACTAGCACTGCCATTGCTGGTTATACTGAACTGTTCTTTTCCCATTTTCTGGAAAGTAAGAGCATCACCCTGCTGGCATGACAAGGAGAAGCAGCTCTGGGGAGCTCCTTCATTAACCAGGTGCTGACCAGAGTGGCGGACTAACTTCAGCGCACTGGGCACCCCTGACAGTGTTAATGGGTGAGGCCTGTGGCCTAGCGGTCTGGGGGTGACCACAGACCAGACCTCAGAACAATGGGGGAAGGCGTGTCCTGAGCAAACACACCATGTGTTTGTTTACCAGCTACGGGGGAGGAGGGAAACAAATCTAGAGTTTTACTCTAGAATAGTCTGCTGTAGGAATGCTTGTTTTTTAAAGTAAAACAACTAACAGGATTCCAAACAAAGTAGTGCTATATATCACGTTGCTGCTAAATGTAACGTGCCTATAACTTTCCTTTCACTGCTGTTATAATCAGAACAGTAATAACAGCGATTATAAACGCTTTCATCCACAAGCACTCGCAGAACCAAGGTGATGAACTCTTTATCAGCAGCTGGTGCGGCGCAGTCACCTACAGGAGTCCTGGCGTTTTACATCTCGCCTGAAAGACGGATCGCAAGGGGTTTGGTAGCTAGCTCAGGGTAATGGAATGTTTTTTTTTTATTTTGCCAGCATAACCTAGAAACCTGAAACTGTATCGTGAAAAAGACCGAAGGCAGAAGTTGTGCATTCCATAAATCATCCCGCAGCTCACACAATGCTGTTGTTTTACACATTCCTAATCAGTGAACCTGATGTCTAAATGGCACAGGACATCGTGTGTTGCTGAGGAGTGGCTGGCAAAGACTGTGGAGAAAGTGCAGCCCAAGAAAGTGCTACTTTCATTAACTCCTTGAGCCCCTGGCACCTCCCTTCTTCTGATCTTCCAGCCCCTGGCGCCTCCCTTCCTCTGATCCCTGAGCCTCGGGCGCCTCCTTTCCTCTGACCCTTCAGCCCCTGGTGTCTCACTTACTCAGACCCTCCTGCCTCTGGCGCTTCTCTTACTCAGACCCTCCAGCCTCTGGCACCTCCCTTGACCTGATCCCTGAGCCCCTGGTGTCTCCCTTCCTCTGACAGTCCATCCTCTCATGCTTCCCTTACTCAGACCCTCTAGCCCCTGATGCCTCCCTTGCTCCGATCCCTGAGCCCCTGGCGTCTCCCTTCCTCTGACCCCCCAGCCTCTGGCGCCTCCCTTCCCCTGACTGTCGAGCATCTTGAGACTCCTTTCCTCTGATACCTGAGCCTCTGGCGCCTCCCTTCCTCTGACCCTCCAGCCTCTGGTGCCTCCCTCCTTCTGATCCCTGAGCCTCTGGCGCCTCCCTTCCTCTGAC